ATTCTTTTACGTACATTACATAAAGATATTGCTCGTTATAATCAAATGGTTGATGCTGTAAGTAGATATGACGAAAAAAAGAAACACCTAGTTATGAATTTATATTAATCTTATATTATATAGGATGATGCACAAGAAGAATTTGGATGGAAATTGTAAGATTTTTTTTTCTCATTATTATGATTACTTTATTTATTAGATGGAGGACTTGTAAATTTTCTTATATACTTAAAATAGAAATTAGTTAATAATAAAATATAAGAATTTACTGAAGAATATTGAACTATATTTCTTTTATAATAATAGAGTTCATGGTGATGTATTTCGACCACCACAACGAGGTATGCTCCTCTCTGTTCTCATCGGCAATGGTACTCAAATTGCTATTATGTCATTGATTACTTTGAGTAAGATCACATCTTTTTTTTTCTCATACCATTTTATTTTCATCTCTTGTGTTTAGTTTTTGCTTGTCTTGGTTTTCTTTCACCAGCAAGTCGTGGGGCTTTGATGACTTGTATGTACATTCTTAAGCAGCTGTTTCATTGATTATTTGATTATTGATTTATATAGGTGCGATCGTCTGTTATGTTCTTTTGGGAACACCAGCTGGATATACTTCAGCTCGTTTATATAAAAGTATGATTTTTGTATTTACTCAAAAATCTCTTTTTAAAATAATATTTGTTAGTGTTCGGCGGTGAAAAATGGAAAAAGAACGTTGTAATGACGGCTGTTGCATGTCCAGGGTATGATTAAATATCATTATTACTACAGAGAAGATTATATTAATTGATATTTAGTGTGATATTTGGAATCTTTTTTATTTTGAACATTGTTCTTTGGGCAAATGGAAGTTCAGCAGCTATTCCATTTACTACATTTATAGCATTACTTGCTCTTTGGTTTTGTGTTTCAACACCATTAGTATTTATTGGAGCATATCTTGGTTTCAAACGTCCTGTAAGAATAAAAAGAATTCTCACAAAATAATCTATATTCTTATTTTGTTCTAAAAAATCTTAGGTTTCAGAAAATCCAGTTCGAACAAATCAAATTCCACGTCAAGTTCCAGAACAAACATTATATACTAAACCATTACCAGGTAAAACTTATTATTATTATTCATATATAATAATTCTATCTCATTTTAAAGGTATTTTGATGGGTGGTATTCTACCATTCGGTTGTATATTCATTCAACTCTTCTTCATTTTAAACAGTATTTGGTAAATAAAATTATTTTCTTATTTATATTTTGTTAATAATATTATAATATATACAGGGCACATCAATATTATTACTTTTTTGGATTTTTACTTGTTGTTTATGTTATTCTTATTATAACATGTTCAGAAACAACTATTCTTCTTTGCTATTTTCATTTATGTGCTGAGGATTATAATTGGTGGTGGCGATCATTTTTAACATCGGGTTTTACCGCCGTTTATTTCTTTTTATATTGTGTTTATTATTTTGCAACAAAACTTGAAATATCAGATGGTACATCAACATTTCTTTATTTCGGTTATACATTGATGTTGACATTTATATTATTTTTATTTACCGGTAAGTAATATATGATGAAATTGAATATGAAACTTTTTTTTTGTTTATTAAGGTACAATCGGGTTCCTTGCTTGTTTCTGGTTTGTTCGAATAATTTATTCTGTCATCAAAGTAGATTAAAACGAAAGAGAAAAACTTACTTATAGACAAGATAATGTGATCAATGCTTTCTATACAAGCATATTTCTTTTTTTTTCTTTTTTTTTTGTTCTTCAAACTTGATATCATATTCTCGTCTTTTTTTTCGTTCTCAGTTAAATATGTCATGTCAATAAATGTGTTGTCTATTGGTTTATTTCGTTTTTTTTTCCTCTTTTTACTTATTTAATTATACTTAACATTGCCGCCTCTTTCTTTTTTTTTTGTCTTTTGAACACGATCGAATATTACAAGAGCAAACTAAACAAAAACATCGGATTATTTATTTTCATTCTTCTTTTCTTTCGTCTTTTTCTTCTCATACTACTACTATTATTATTATTATTATTATTCATTTACGTACTTTCTCTCAGTTGTTATTACAAATAAAAGATAAAGAAAAATATGATGCATACATGTCACTTAAATTTGATAGTTTCTTTATTAAAATGAGTTGTTTCCATGGTGGAATATTTAAAAAAAAAGAATGAGTAGTAGGACGAGACAGCCATCGCTAGCTTTTATTGTAAGAGAAACCACTTCTTTTTTTTCTCTTCATATTGTTCCAGTCTGATTGTAATGCATTTCTTGTGTAGTATTTCACAAACAATATTTTATCATAAATGGTTGATCCATTTCTATGAATCAACTAAAGTAATAATCATTATAACTAAATTAGCAATTGTTAAAATCGATTATGAGAATTTTATAGGCATATTTTTATACGTCAAAAAATTCCTTTCGTTGTCTGAAGGTAGCGATGTTCATTTGATTGTCGAAGTCCACACGAATTCATTGTATGAAATCAAGAAAAATATAAAATCTTTCAATATAACGAAAATTTGTTCATGCGTATCGTCTTGAACGCTTTCAAAATGCAATGAATCTAGGCAATTATATATTTATGCAATTTTGATGCTTCGTTGTTATGTAACGACATATATATATATATATATGTATTTCTATATTTTTTTCAATAAGTGATCTTGTAAATAGGTTGGTATACGCTACCTCGGCCGACATATATGACGAACGTGTGACATTAATAAGAGAAAAGAAAAAACGAATCATACAGACGTCGACACTTCTGTTCTACATATATATACATATAAGATGTAACGTTGAACTTTCAGATACAAATGTCTTTTCCTGCAATAACAACATTAACAAGTATTTGTGAAGATACTCTAAATTCAACCATTTTTGAAAAAACTGAATTAAAACCATTTAACAAACAATTAATTAATGAAGAATATTTAAATAAAATACCAGTAAATTTCGATGAAAATGTATCATTATTAAATTTAAAACAATTATTTCGTACTACACATTTACATATAGCACATCCATTACGTTCTTCATTATGGATAAATCTTCTTCGACAAGATCAAAAATATCAACAATATAAATTTCAACAAGCTATTGAACGTTATCCAGAAGATATACGGTATGTACTTGTCGACAGTAAATTGCTTGCTTGTGTGTCCGTAGGGTTAAAAAAACATCGAAAATCAATTTTTTACGGTTTTCATTTGTTGTTTCAGTAAATGTGAAGAAAGTGGATTTTTACGAGAAAGAGCTAGGCGAGTCCTCGGACGAGCGTTACTTGTCATCTAATTTGAAAATAATGAGATAATTTATCTTTAAGTTATAATAACACTTTAGATAGAAATGTTATACGTTTGATTTCTTTTTCTATACTATGAATAGTTACAAGTCAATTTGATTGAATATCTGATAGATGGTTAGCGACATTTCTATGAGTAAAATATGTATAACCTTCTTACCTATATTTCTCACATATGAAACTATCTGAGTCAGAGGACAAACAATGCTGAACCGGGGCGGATTCCGAATTTCCATCTTTATACAAACTAGAACTGAACATATACGATTCTGTCACATAAAACTTAGGAATGTAATCGTTAGAAAGATTGTAAGCTTAATAGTCTTTAGTCAAATTCAAGTATTTTTGAATATTTTTCTAGTATATGTATAATGCATGAATTTTGTAATGATTTACTTTCTAGTAATATGTTTGGTCGTCGGAATGACATCACTGTTCGTCTTCCATCATGTATTGATCTTGATCATTTGCCTAATTATAATCTTAATCGGAAAGGTCAACATGCACGAACACGAATCTTAAGTGTATTTGCTTATTATCATCCTGATATAACATGGGCACCATTACTTGCTCCATTAACTGCATTATTTTTACATTATATGACTGAAATTGATGCTTATGAATCTTTATTAATTTTAACAAATAATAATTATAAAATAATAACTCAAACAGAAATACAATATCAATCATTAATATTAGCATTTCGTTCATTATTACGACGACATTATCGTTCTACATATGATATACTTATGAAATATCAACAGAATATATTGGATAATTGGCTATGGATTATATTTGAATATTTACCTTTGAAATATCTTGTACCAATTATTGATTGTCTCTTAATTGAAGATATGAAAATTTTAATACGTTTCACAATATCACTATTGAATTTTTTTGTTAAATATATTTCCAAACAACATATCAAACCTAAACGACGTTATTCAATATTTCGTCGTGAAACATTTTCTCGTTTATCATCATCATCATCGATAAAAACAAATGGAACGGCTAATAATGATAGTAGATTAATTCATTTTATTCAACAATTAGATATACCAATTGAAAAATTATTTAAACAAGCATTTGCTATTCGACATTTACGAAGAAAACAAATTTTTCGAATTATTCAAGTATGTAATTTAGAAATATAACGACTATATAAAAAAAAAAAACGTAATCTTTATTTACCTTATTCAATGTCATTAATTCGTTATGAGTTTACTATTATAAGTCTGAATATGTTTGTAAATATTGTCGAAAGATATATCGATCAAGGTTATCTCTTATTTCAGTTACAAAATCAATAGTATTTTGTTCTCGATTTCATAAATATATTTAGATTGAAGAAATAAAAATAAAACAAGAACGTCGTCTTGGTCGTCCATTATCATTAATAAGTGATCATAATGGATCAAATTCTATATCAACAACAGCACCTATTCGTTCATACAATCAACAAAATTCAATTTCAATCATAATGATTCGTGAATTTGATACAACAATAGCAAGTCATTCAGATTTTGCATATCTTTGGTCATTAATTCCAGCTCGTCTTACGGAATTTCAACCTGAACGTATTTATTCATCGAATATTCATGGTCGTCGTTTAAGAACTTTATATGATCATGTCGAATTTCATGAACATTGCTTTATTATAATACGTAATGAACTTGAAGAAATTTTTGGTGCTTTTTGTTCAAGTCAATTTTCACTTCGGTCAAAAACACGTACATGGTTTGGTACAGGTGAATCATTTTTATTTACATTAAAACCTAAACGACAAGTTTTTAAATGGATTGGTTATCAAAAATATAGTATGGGTCATACAAAACCATATGAAGATTATTTTATATATGCTGATGATGAACGTCTTCAAATTGGTGGAAGTAAAGAAGCACTTGATATTGGTTTATGTATACAACAAGATTTAAATCAAGGTAGTACAAAACAATGTGATACATATGCAAATAAACCATTATCAACTAATGAACATTTTCAAATTATGGAAATAGAAGTCTTTGGTTTTACAAGTTAACAAAAATTGTTTTGTTTATTATTTGTTTTTTTTTGTACTATAAATATTTGGAAATTATTGAGAGTTATAATGTAAAATTTTGTACTTAAAGATGGTGGAAAATATAAATATAGAATTGTATTCAAACTTTAAAACTTTTTCATGTTTGCAGAGAAGATTAAAATGGGTCTTTGTAGTTTAAGACAGATATTTGCTATTTACATCATATTGAATGCTATATATTTAACCCTTTGGAGGTGTTCGCGTTTTATCGCACGAACGATGTAAATACATAAGAAAAACGTGAAATTTCGCCTGTATTGTACTATATAAGATCATTCAAAAAAAGAAATTACGATTAGCGTGAAGAAAAGTTTAGAGGATGGTGAAAATATAAACCTTCGAAGCAATAGAGGGCATACGTAAAACGACTTAAAATCATCTATATAACACGGATGTTGTCAGGGGTCCAAACGGATCCACATTCTAGTTTTTGACTGCTGATAGTTAGATCTTATAGTAGAAAAAACAAAAAAGCACCACTGTGGGTCCCAGAAGACCCGCAAACACCGCCGGAGGGTTAAATTTAATGTCACCATTATAGAAGTTTTAATATAACTGATACTTTTGCAGACTGTTATAAGTGTTCGATGGAAACGAAAAAGAAATTAATACAGATTATCATAGGATTAATTCTGATTTTTATTTAAATGATTAAAAGGGAAAAAAAAGATTTTATTAAAAATTTCCACTACAATTATCATTTGATTGATTAAGTTCTGTTTGTTGTATTTCTATTCTACTGTCAGATGATAAATAAACTATTTCATTATTATTATTATTTTGATAATTATTT